TACTAGATTATATCTCTACTAGTCGTCAATTTTTGTATATTCGTATTTATCAAGCAAATAACTCAAATGAGAAATATACAAGTATATCTGATTCATTTTTACTTTTCCATGCATCTTCCAGAATATGTGTGGGTGTTGCTTGTTTTTTCATGACAACAGTATACTACGAAAAAAATGTACAAAAAAGAACGGGAAGAATTAGACAACAAAGCAAAACCGACTATAGAGATAATTACATAAGCAAACAATACGTACAAGGAAAAAAAGAAGGAAGGCTTCATCGTCATGTGAACAATTTTTTAACACCCTCATTAGTCGTAGTAGACGTTGTCCTTCGGACCCCACACAAATGATGAAACAAATTGAAAGACATTCATAAAAATAGACACGTATTTACATATCGACACACACACACACACGAACAAGAACTATCTATATACTTAGAAAAAAAAAAAAATTAACTAGAAATGATGGGAGAGAGAGAGATGGCTATTTTCGCGGGAAGAATTTTGTTTTTCTACATCGAAAATAATTTTGTTGCTGCTGTAGTTGATTAAAGTCATTTGTTGGTGATGTTTCTCGCTTAAGAGTCGATGATGAACTCGATGAAGATGTTGATGAAGAACGAGAATGCTTTTGAATATTTTCTAATTCTTCGAGTAAAATTGGTTTGGACTTTGGTAAATCGATAAAATCGGATGTTGCTAGATTAAAGCTATGGCGTTTTATTATATTTACAGTATCACTCAAAATAAATGGTGGCTGAAGGGATGATGACGATGGTTTCTGATAAGTGAACGTGGGCAAATTTAAACGATTATTATTATTGCTACTACTTTTTAATGTCTTGCTTGATAATGTTTCATTACGAATTGTTTTTATTTGATGTAATTTAATTGATGGTCTTGGACGAAACTAAAACAAAGGGAATGACCATATTAATATCTGCAAATACTCAAATCTAAAACCGATCTCAGACGCAGAGTTGTTACACAGTCTTTTGTTCTTCACCAGAATAGGTATTGACAGCTTATCCACTAATATATTAAATCATGCACAACGGATCAACTCGGACGGTATTAGAGAAAAACAGCACAAAACACACACAGAAACGACACGAATATACACTGATTAGTAATGTTATTATATACCTTTTGGTACGATGTTGCACGTCATTATATCAGACACATGTATAATATAAGTACTTTATAAAAACAGATTAATTTACGTGGTTTATTAAAAAAAATTAAGCAAGCTTCTCTCTCTCATGGATGGACAAATTGATTTCGTACCATCGACAGGGTGGTGGTGGTCGGTGTCACGGTTGTTGTTGTGATTGTTTCATGATTTGTTGGTCGATAATGAGAAGAAATTCGCGGTGGTTCAGATAATGTTTTACAAAGTTGTTTATGCGAAAGATGCGAAGGTGCATGGTAGTAGAAGGGAGGTGGATGCAAGACATGCTCAGAAGATGACTGATAAGAACGAGTTATGCTATCAGTAGTATCACAAGATTGTTGTTGTGGTTGACAACGAGCTAATGGAGATACAGATATCTGAAAAAGAAACGCATGCATGCATGTCTTTACCATAGCAATGTTTTATGCATTATTCACACATATGTTATTTTTGTATACATACTTGTTGTGGATTTCGAGTTTGCATTGGCATAGTTTGCCTAGTAGCTGGAAACAAACAACTTAATAGTGATCCATCGTGATTCTCATTGTCATTTGACGATAACGATGATAAATACTGTTCAGGATTGAATTTTTTCGATTTTTGAGTAGTACAAGAGGCAGTTATTGACTGTAACGGTGGCCATTCATTTGAATCTAAAATCGATAGATGTTGATGATGTTTATCTAATGGTGAGGATAGTGATGACAGAGATCGCCCTTCGTTTGTACATGTGTCGTTTGTTGTGGCTATTGATGATGAGGCAAATAACAGCAACGGTAAGGAGGATGAAAGCGGACTAGTGGTTGTAGTACTAGCTGATGTCGTGGGAATAATTGGTGGTGGAGTGGTCATCTGGTTTTGTTGATTAATAGCTGCTTCTATATCTCTCGCAACTTTACGTTCACTTAACCGACGAAATAAGGAATTGTTTTGTGCATGTTTTTTACCACTACCACTACCGGGATTACGTATGGTTGACGACTTTGATATATCATGATGACGCGTTTGTGTTTTCTTATTCTTTTGATTATGTGAATTTGCTGGATTATGATGACAATCGTTATGTCTCATTTTCTGTTTTGATGGTGATCGTCTTCTACCGCCACTTCTAATTTTTGTTTCCGAACACGGTATTGCTCGAATTGATAACTTTGGTGAACCGTTTAATATTAGTTTAACAACATCGGGATGCAATAAACCAGCTACGGGACGTTCATTCACATGTGTAATGACATCATTTGGACGTAGACCAGCTTCTTCTGCTGGCCCTTCAACGGCGACAACAACATGCTGAGTAGTGTAATAATCCGTATTTCCATGAAATACTTTCACAGCACGCAATGTAAAACCGAAACTTCTTGGTCCACGTCGAATTATAATTGGAGGACGTAAATTTTGTGTGATAGACTGTAAAGGAGATTGAGTTATCGATGTTAACTGATGTTGATTGTGTTTCATGAAGAGAACATCTCTTAAAGGAGATGTAGAGAGAATATCACGTTCTAATGGTGAAACAGTATTATGACGTTGTTGAATCGTTAAACCTTTTATACCGTAATCCTAAAATAAAAGGAATGAAGAATCTTTTAAGCTTTTTCTTCACTGAATGTAATTACCTGATGAGACATCCAAGAATGAGATTGTTGTGATGGAGGTGGTGACGAATTGGATGAAGATGATGAAAATGATTTTGATAATGATCGAGGAAATTTTTTCACATTATTCTGCTGACTGTACTTATTTGGAGTTGTCTGAGTATTCACCGGTTTTATTTGTTGTACTGTTGTTACTACTTGATTTTGTTGTTTAGAAACTAATGCATGGGAAGAAGCAGATTTCTTAAAGTTTTGTTGTTCAGTTAAATTTGTTTCAGGTTTAATCATAGCAGCATGTTGTTGTTCTTGATTTACGCCACTTTTAATTGAGATCGATACTTGTGGTAGTAATAATAATTGACGATTAGTGTTTGAAGCAGTAGTTAATTCCGATAATTTTGACGTAGAAGATGGAGATAGTGAAGCAGTGATTTTTGTGTTACTAAAAAAAGAGGAATAAATTTGCATTTAAACTTACTGTCAAATGGAATTTGCATTTACCTCGCTGCAGAGTTTATTGAATTCGATTGATTTGATGCTGTGACATCGAATGATGTTAAATTTGCTAATGGACTAGTCACTGACACACTAACAGATGGAGTAGGTAGCACAGAAGACAGTTTTAGTTGTAATGGAGATAATCGCCGTTGAGGTTTTCTATGATGGTGATGATGATGCCGTGGCTTTGTTTGATCATCTTCACTATCGTCGTAATCACGACATAAATGATGTTGACTTTTATCATCATGTTCAGATAGTTTGATTGAAATTTTGCGTTGTTTTTTGCCATCTTTTCCTGTTATATCTTTTGCTGTTGTTTTAGATTTTTTCTTACTGGATGTAGTTGAAGAGGTGTTGTTTGATGAGGTCGTCAATGAGGGACAATCGGGAGAGGATGATAGTGAAGAGGATACTGATGATTGTGAATTTAATGAATCTTTACGATGAGAATTGACATTATTGCTTAAATCACATAATAATTTATCTAATATAGGCTGTTCTTGTTCGCTATTTCCATCTGTTGGTACTCCATTTGTGGGCTCAAATGTATCGGAGCCAAATTGTTTTATAATAGGAGATTTTAAGTCTGAAATAAAAATAATAATAAGATACATGATCATCTCTGACAGTATCGGTAGCAATATTTCTTTCTTTTCCCGTCGTATCAATTAACCCGTTCATTTTAAAGTTTGATTATTTTTCTCTGGCTACGCATGTTACCTTTTATATTATCATTATCTTTGCTTATCGTTAATTGTGTAGGTAGTGATTGTGCTAAGCATAATACTCGATGTTGTTGTTGGAATTGGGCAGGTATTGTTGGCTGTATAGGTAAAAATTCTCCAATTGAATCTGATTGTTGATATTGTGAAATAATTTGTTGTGTGTCACTATCACCATTAAAACATTCCGAACAAGAATTTGTTCTTGAAACATCCGTTGAAGATATATCTGACGTTGTTGAATAATCTTGTTTTACTAGCTGATTTTTTGGATGTGACAAATTGTGATGTTGCTGAGGTACTATAGTATTGAAATTTTGACTAACGGACAATTCGGACATATATCTTAGCGAACATGATGAAAATGAGGCAAATAAACTTTCAGAATCTGTTGTCTCTCCACCACTCAGTAAACTTCCACCCCCATGTTTACTTGTTTGTGCTTCGTTATCAACGGTTGTTAATGTGGTGGCTTTCGTCGCTTGTGTAACATCTAAATCATCATCATCATTATCCGTATTAGATAAATTATGTTCATATCGATCTTCTCTTGTGTCAAAATAAGACGTATCATCTGGACTCTCTAAGACGGGAACAAAATCGGCTTTTTCTCTTAACAATGTGTCCCAATTAATACACGTAAAAAATGTATGAGATTTTACTTCATAAGGACCCAAGGTACCTAAAAGATATTGAACTTTGACGAAGACATATATTATAGCTAACGTGGAGTTTTTACCCAGTCGTTGTGATGGATCATGTTCTAGTAAACATTCAATTAAATTTTTAGCGTCAATGCATAACATTTCCGATGTATTATTTGTTGACGATGAATCACTATTTTCATCTAAAATATCTGGCCATTCTATTTGACCATTAATCACATTAGCAAATAAATCATCAGGCGTATTGCCAGTAAATGGAGGAATACCAATTAAAAATTCATACAATATTATACCTGAAACAAAATATAATAGATCAATATTCTAGAAAACAAGTAATAAAAACTATCCTATCGAATTATTAAACAAGATCTAAAATATCTAGCTCGAAACATTAGAAGTTTTTTTAAAAATATTGACAAACATTTCTATGATTTATCATTTTCGACGGTGACATTAATCATCATTTAATAACAGAACATTTTTCCTTGTATACTGATCATTATAATGTGCTTACCCATACTCCACCAATCAACTGGTTTTCCATAACCTTGTCTTAAAATAACTTCTGGTGCAATATAAGAAGGTGTACCACATATTTGTTTATCATTAAATGCTTTTGTTTCTTTATCAATATGTTTTTCATAAAAATTTGTTGTTAAACTCATTAAACCAATTTTTGATAAACCAAAATCTGTTAATTTTATATGACCAATAGCTAAACAAAAAAACGACACACAAATAAGAATTATTATCATATGACTATTTAAAATGAAAAATTATGAAGTTTAAACAAATATACCCGTAATTAATAAATTATCTGGCTTTAAATCTCGATGTATAATTCCGTAAGAGTGTAAATATTCAACAGCTAATGTTGTTTCAGCAAAATACATTCTTGCTATATCAATATTTAATGGTCCACCAATATTTTTTAATAATGTTGCCACATCCCCACCTTCAACAAATTCCATAACCATACATAAATGTTTTTTTGTTTCAAATGTACATATTAGAGCCACAACAAATGGATTATCTGTAAATGTCATTATATCTCTTTCCATGAATGCTTGTTCAACTTGATTTCTTAAAATTAAATTTGTTTTTGATATTTTTTTCATAGCATATCGTTCATGTGTTTGTTTATGTTTAATTAAATGTACGGCACCATAGGCACCATTTGAAATTAATTTTACTATTTCAAAATCATCTTCACATGGAACTTTTAATTGTTGTTGTTCTTGAGCTTTACTAGAAAATGTATGTTCAATTGATGGTCGCATAGAAGAAATAGATGTGTTTAATAATGTACTATTTGCAGTAATTGTTAAATAATTTAGATCGTTTGACGATGATGATGAATTATTATTTGTCGTTGTTGAATTTGTGATAGATTCTTCATTCGTTGATAATAAATAGGGTGGAAAGAGAGCTAGAAAAGAAGAACAAAAATAAATTTTAGAAAATATAATAATTTAGTTTTTAATAATGAATAAAATAGTCCTTACATTTTTCTGTTTCATGAATTCTTTCATTTTCTTTTTCATTATCATTTTGTATCATTTTTTTATCAAATATTGTCTGTTCTTTCTGTGTCTGTTGTAATAAATCAATATCAAGTGGATTTCGATCTAAATTTAATTTTGAACAAATATATTTTGGTATATCTTGTTTAATTATCAATTTTGCTTGTGATTCAATGTCATCAAGTGCTAAAAGAAAATCTTCTGGATCAAATTCAAGACATTCTAGTAGACGAGCCGACCGTGCTATTGTAAATAATAAACTTTTAACAACTTTTTGTAAATTTAATATTAAACTTGGACATTTATCTTTAGCATTTAATAATAGACGTTCTAAATTTTCTGTTATTTCATTAAAATAATCGGTTGTAACCCCATCACTTATCGATTTTTCTAAACAATCTTTTGCTAATTCAATAATTTGATTATGAATAAAACGTGCTGATCCATCTGAACAATAATCATATTTATCCACACACTTGTAAGAATCAATAAATGATTGTAGACGTTCTTCCATTTGTACTTTAGCCTATAAAAATATATTTATTTTTAAAATATAAATTATTTAAAGTGATATTTTAAAACAAAAATATTAAAACTTACTTTAGGATATCTTTCTTTATAGACTAAACTCATTGATTTCATATCCGATTCCATTGGATTAATTTTTAATGGACTTGACATTTGTGGATCTAACATTGACATTGACAGAGATCGTGATTCTAAACGTTGATTAAATGAATAATCATCATTTTCTAATAATAGTCCTACACAACTACTGCCACTAGCACTAACACTACTACAACTATCATTTGAACTGTATAAACGTTGTAATCTTGATTGTTGATTTTGACCATTTGTTTGATCTTTTACAATTGATAATGAAGAAATAGATATTGGAATTTGAGAAGAATGATCTTTTCCTGAATTACTACCAGTAGAACAACATGAACAATAATTTTGCTGTTGTAAACGTTCATAAGATGAATATTGAGATGATTGATTTGAATGACATGTAATAGGAGTTGTTGTACCATAACCGGATGAAGAGGGAGCCGAGGTTAATGACCAACGTCGATTAATTTCATCGATTGTTGGAACTGGTACAGCGCATGTTGTTGAAGTTATCACAGGTTTAAAAGCACTCGACGTCGATTGATTAAATGTAGTAGAATTATTTCGAAGAGCTAAACCGGGAAATGCGAAAATTTTTATATTAGTTTTCAAAAGCTTTCAAAATACTAACCTGTTTTTGTTGTTTGTGGTTCCGATTGTGTTTGACACAAATGTTGAGGTGAATGTGTAGATTGTTGAGGAGATAACTGTTTTCTTAACGCATATTTTAAATTAATTAAATTGAGACCAGATAAATTTGATCGTTTTGAACTTGGTCTTCTCAATGAAAATGGAAAATGAGTTAAATGTTGTTGAGAAGGAGGCGGAGTTGGTGACGGTGCATAATTTGACTGATGTTTTGTACCGGCATTCATTGTCCCCATTCCAAATAGAAAATTCATTTGTGTCGATGTTAGAGTAGGTTCCGATTGACTTAATCTTAAACGCCTTATTCGTACAAGATTTGTAGAAAAAGTTGAATTTGGTGTATATGATGATGCAGATAAAACGTCATTTCCTCCTACTACCGACATCATTGCTGATGGTATTGGTGATCCACCACTTTGTAATTGAATATTTGATGTCATCCAACTTCGTCTTCTTAAACGTTCATTTAATTTTTGTTTTGATTCACGATTACGAATGATTGTTTGACCACCGGTTGACGAACGTTTTCGTAAAATATTTGAAGATGAATTTATTAGTGACTGTTCTATTCCTGAACATGTGTTTTCAACACTCAAAAAATTTTGACTTGTTTTTAATTGAAAATGATTTGGATGTGATGATGATAGTTCGGATGCAATATGTAATTTTGACAGTTCTTGATCAGCATCTAGTTAAAAATAATAAATAAAAATAATTTAATTTTTTTTTGTTTTGAAAAAAACAACAACAAGAAAACGAAATTATAACTAGATGAAGATAAATGCAAATAGTATCAAATAATAAACTGAAATATTGTATAGTTTATATTGAAAAATTGAATAACTGAACGTTTCTCTTCTAACTATTATTATTATTTTGCCTCTATAACCTATGTTCATATTAGAAAAATTTGATACATCAAAATGGAACTGAGGTTATATAAATCAACCTTTTACACCTATTTTTTGTTTCCTATATCCTATTCCTTTTTTGTTTTTTATAATTACAACCTAACAACAGATTTAATGACAGTAAATAAATTCTCAATTAATCATTTTCTTCATATCCGAAACTTTTCTATCATACTAACCAAAATATTTGTATTAAAACAATAGTAGACATAAATTTTTAGATTTAAAGTAACTTATTCTTATTTGTTTTTTTGGTGGATAAATTAAGAGGAAAAATAAATGCGGGGTAGTATTTTTTTGTTCTTAATAGCAATCTAGTAGACGTTAGAAAATACGTGAAACTGTCAGCAGACCTTTTATTACGTTTTCAAATTAAAGCACGTCTTATCCTTGACTTGGAAATGCTATAGAAAAAAAAGAAAAAGCAAAAAGAATGTTTGGATGGTCTCTTCGATTGCTGCGATTAGAAAATGCAAATATGAAAGATATACTTTTAGTTCAAAATGCGAGAGACAAAAATATCTGTTAGTGAGTAGTGCCCAGAAAATCCTCTAAAAAGGAAGAAGAAAAAACATGACTATAAACTATTATTAATTACGAACATTGTAAAGACTCGAAGAAAGTAGAGATATAAAAACTTTTATTCTTGTACAAAAGATATTAAAATCAAAGAAAAGTATCAAAAAGTGGAGGAGAGCCTTAATACCGATAGATAGTTTCAGATAAGTATCAAAGATCAAAACGATAATTTCAATGATAAAGTAGTCATGAATTATATATATACCTGAAACAACAACAACATGTGGAAATAATGTCTGTACAGGTGATTTATTTTCTTCAATATCTATTTCAGCTTTTGGTAATGAAACTGACGAAGTGATCGTTGAAAAAGACGATGCTGATGTTGTTATTGTTTGCTGTTGTTGAACTTGAAAAGAACTTATTGATACTTTCTCATCTTGATCATCTTGTTTTTTCAATGATGCTATTGAATCATTAGACGTTGATTTTATTTTCGCTGGTTTTGTAATTGTTGATGTTGTTGAAGAGAGAAAAGGTAATGGATGATTTGGAGCTGAATGAGGTTTACGACGTTTTGGTATTTGTGATATAGAAGATGAGCTAATCGTATCATCTATATTTTTTGTTTCATCTCCATTTTCTATCGGTAGTAATGTGCCATTTGAAGATGAAGTGGAAGTTGAAGATGCAAGAGTCGATGATGATATTGGCTGTTGATGTTGTTTCTTATTTTTCTGACTGAAAAATTTTCTCATAATTTTAATTAAAAAATAAAAATAGATTAGGCGATTTTATTTTATAGTCATATGGAACGCTTATTTTTTAATCGATAATTATATACAGGTATGTATTATGATTGACTAGATTTTTCTCAATAGGTGATGATTTTTACTAATACTAATACTAATACTAATACATTGTGTGGGTTTCTTTGTTGTTTTTTGTTTGATAACAAAGCATTTTATACTAGCCAAAATAATTGACTAGCAGATATTGTTGACCATTCTAAAACAAAACAAAAAAAAAATATATAGTAATAATTGTCATGAAAAGAATGGAGGAGATACTCATTTTTCTTAGCTTAAAACTAAAGAGAACATATTAATATCAAAAATCGATAATAAAAAGCAACGAACGAACAAAAAAATAACGATCGCAATTAGATTTGTCATGGCTCGAAGACAAATAAATCCTATTACCAAAAACCTTGTCAGTTCTTGTTCTAAAGAATAAATACACAATGTATTCATGAAGAACAACTAACTTATCGTTTTCCACACATTTTTCTTTCTCATTTGTTATGTTGTTAAAAACGATTAATAAATAACTTATTTTTTCTTATTAGTTAGTTTATATTCTCGCTAAAAGTTTTCACTATGGTCAACAATTGACTCAGTCTGAAAAGCTAAATCTAGTATGTAATTAATCAAAGTCTGAATTTGTTTGAGAAAAAAAACTATAAACAAAATTACTTTTTCTTCTCTTTTGACTGATTCAGAGTTGAATATCCTTGTCAGCACTTTCAGATCTGACTCAGCTAATCACACAGTACACTTATAATATGTTTCATAGTAAGAGTCATCTCTTTTTACTCATATAAACATTGGTCTCAAATGTTCGTTGTACTCAAAGTTACTTTATTTTTGTGCTAGTCAAAAATATTTCTTAAAGTTTAGAAATGTTTATTATCTACAGGAAGCCGTTTTCTTCTAATAGTTGGCTGAATCAGATCAAAAAAATTTGATAGGAATCAGTTCTTACATTTATGAAATTTATTTCTAGTCTTGATCCTATCACCAAATTTAGAGTTGATCAATATTTCATCTCTGAAGGTTTAAATCAGGACATACAGTTTAATGAGGTCTGATTTAGCTCTAATAAAACTGCGTAGCTGATTCAGCGTTTCAGATCAAGCTGATTGTCGACCAGTCTAAAAGTTGTTTTTTTTTTAAGTTAAATATCAAATAAATCTTTAATAATTCAAAAAGTAATGCAGGTTTTATCTCTAATCTTTTTCTTAATAAAAAAAAAAGAACGCTTAAAAACTTGTAGAAAAATGCATAAAGGTCTTATCTTATCAGATAAATTACATTGAATTTACATGCTAACTTTATTATCAACATAATAGAAAGACGAATCATACGATTTGAATATGAACTTACAAGTTATCAATTGTTTGAATTATTATGTACAACTGGTAAACTTCTGTACGATGATGATGTTTACTTGATGTGTAGATATCACAGAGAAGAAAAGAGAAGAGAAAAAAAAAATCTTTTTTTTTCTTTTTTTATCAAATCAGCTGTTCAATTCGTGACAGCAAATGATTTCACTCAAGTGACTAAACACAAGAGAACGAATGAAGAAGATAGAAAGAAAGAAGAGAACCATATGGAACAAGTTTTCTATATGTCTCATACTCGTACACGCATATAAATTAATATGTGTGTATGAAGAGAAGAAGAATAGACAGTTGAGACCCAACTGTTACATCAATCCTATGCAATATAGTTCACTCTATTGAGAACAGGTCATTTGTATTATCGTCACCATTTTCATGAGATTTATTCATTATTCTGATAAGAAAAAAAGACAAGACGGTTACATTTTCTTAGGACAAAGAACAATCTTTTGAGAATAGAACAAAGAATTGATCTGACATAATTTTATTGACATCCTTATTATTTTGATAACGTGAGTTAGAAGAAGATGAACCTTTGAGCATGGGAAATCAAATTATTTCACAGTTTCATCTGGGATTCGTTTACGATTTAAAATATAACTTTTTATCTAGTGTAAAAACAAAATATGACTAGTTTATTGTAGACATTCCTATTCAACAACAAACTCTTTCAATTCTAACGTTATCTTATGAATACTATTTGTATACTCTTTCTATCATAAGTTACACAACTAATGTAGAAAAATAGAGTGAAGTCTTTGAAAAGCATGAATTATGTAAAGGAGGAGAAAGAGAAAACTTTTATAATTAATAGTCGGAAACCATCAGTTGTTTTTATAATGATTTTTTCTACGTGCATTAGTCAAACTAAGTATAAATCAAAATATATGAAATAAGGAAAACTAACAATCGTGACTAAACTATTTTCTTTTTATTGCTTTAGTCTGATTGAGTGGAATACTTTTATTTTAAGTGAACATTTTATCTTTTTGTTCTACTGATCTGAAGATGACAGAAAGAAAATTAGTTTGCGTTTTTACTCATGCGGTGTATCTAAACCAGTCATTTTTTTTTCCTATTAAGTACTATACCATATATTTTAGAATATAGAAAAAATATTTGTATTCTTCAAAAAACAACAACAACTCTTCTATAAATTGATCTGTTCGTATAATTAAGGACACAATGAAAAATACCGGAAATTTTGAATAAAACAAAATGTGTATAGTGAGCACCAAATTTATTAGCAGTTCATCGAGTCACTTGCAGAAAAACTTTTTAAGATTTTCAATGCTTTCTTGTAATAAATTTTCTGTGGTTTATTGAAAACTTGGCTGATAGTTCTTAAAAAGTTTTTTCTGCAGGTGACTCGATGACTTCTTCAAACTAGATGGATTAGAATTCATTCATCATGGAATTTAGAGTAAACCTCCGGAGATTAGTTGTTCAAAGATCTACTTGAAAAAGCTGCACATCCACCGAAATGAATAATATATTTGTGATCAGCATCAAAATTAACCTTTAAGCAACTAGATATCAAGAAAAAAGCGGTTAAATACTTGAGAATGTTCTCTCGTTAGAGATAGCACCAGAACGGATTTGTTTTCCTTATTTTAACACTACAACTTATCTTTTGATGAATAGTTTGACCTGGAGGAAGAATGTGTCTTATTCTCTTTACTGGAAATGTCATCTTTCTCTGAATTCTTAACTAACCTTTAAAATGAAAACGTAAAACTAATCAATATGAATTAACACTTTCTGACTTGATGTTGTTTTGCCGTATGTATGTCAGTGTATAAAATTCTTCCAGTATGATGCACCGGATTTTGTTTTTTCCTTCTTTATAAAATCATTAAAAAGCAAAAAAAAATCACTTTTTTTCACTCACCAGATGCGTGTACACGTGGTGATAAAAGATAAGAGCATGAAAATGAGAAGAAAAAAAATGGAAACTTTCAAAGATGAACACATTAGCGTTTTTTTATTTGTTGTAGATAAGTTTCTTTTTTCTTTCAATGGAAGAACTTTATGGGTAGAATGTCACCTTATTCCATGATTATATCTGAAGGGTTTCTCTCGTTTTAATGCATCGCTACTTAAGACGTTGCTTCATCAAATTTTAACAAACACTAGCTCCACTTAGAATCACTGAATAGTTTATGTTTTTAATGGTAAAAGTAAATCAAAAAATAAATTGTACAGGTAGATGGTGTCTGTATAAAGTTTTAAATCCTATGTAATTTTACAAAGAATTAGAAAAGAAAAATCAAGGCTCTACATACGATTCGAACACTTATACTAGTCTTGTCTGTGATAACGCTTATAAAAAAGTAAATGAAGTATATCTAGAGAGACTTTTCGTATCCTTACTTGAGTTTAAAAAAAAAAATACAAAATCTTCTGTGATGAATGGGAGTAAAGAAATTTTTTTAGTGATACTAGTGAATAAGACAGTTTACTATGTCAATTTTCATTCTAATCCTAAACTTCATTCAGTATGAAACTTCTCAAAGTAATAAATACAGAAATTCAAACCTTTTTTTGGCTAATTGTATCAAGTTTAATTTCAAAGATCCAACGACGTACCTTTTTGTTTGTGATTGGCGTTGAAAAACTGAGAAAGGTTACATCGATTGTGTTTTGTTTTTTGGTTTGTCAGTTGTTAATTTAAGGAAGCTATTCGATAATCCGTGTGTGCGTTCGCTGTTTTTTTTATCTATTCTATTCACGTTTTTTTTAATATCCCCATCTCAGTGTCTTTCTCTCTCTCTCTCTCTATCTCTTTCGCTTTCTTTGTCACTGTTACTGAATAGATTCTCACACGCATAAAAATATTGACCTTCATTTTGTTTCTATACATTTTTAATATCTAGTTAATAAACTTTACTTATTGATTTAATTTTTGATTCAATTATTTATTGATTCAATTTTCTTTCTAACACTACTACTACTACTAGTAGGACTAATTTATTCGGTATTTGTGTGATACAATAAAACCAATTAAATTGATAATGATCATAATCAGCTAGAGAATAAACGTTTGAGTATCACTACTACTGCTTAGAACGTCATTCTTCTTTCTTTTTTTTATTCGAGATATGTCACCGATAAGTATTAATATAATATACTCAACACTCGAATATGTATGCATACCAGAAATCATTCATTTATTCTATGATGTTAAATAAAGTTCGTTTTCGCTAATATTTGAATGAACAATAATAGAGTAGTGATACACTATAACGACAAGTCCCCTATCAGATACAATCGTGTAATAAACTAACAGTTTACATTCTTTCTTCCTCTTTTTTTTCTCACTGATATCGATTTTGATCTGTTCAAAAAAGAAAAAAAAGGTGTTTTATTTACTTTTTTTCTCCTTTATTCTTCATGTAACTAGTTATTCAATTATAGATCATGGTCGGAGGCGTTTTTATAATAAATCTGAAATGAACTGTATTATGAGACGTGTGTAAGTATAACATGTATGAATAAGCAAGCAAGAAAGTATTTCTCTCTCTCTCTTTCACTATAAAAATGATGATAATTTTTTAATAGTTGATAATAAGT